GAGACGCTGCGTCTCGGTGCCATACTTCCGGCATCCCTGCCAGCGCTTGCCTCATTCCTGAAGCTGACGCTGGCTCCGCCGCACGTGCTTTTATAGCTTCCTGGCCATGACATCACCCGCCCATGACGTCTCGCCCAGCTATTGGACTGATTTCACATGTGATTCAGAGCGTGGTCACAGAAGGCGTTCCCAAAGCGTTTTCCGACGCAGCGTCTCGTTCCCTCGAGGAACCATGGTTACATACGTAACCTGAGACGTTTTCGTTTGTAATTTCTAGTAAAGTGGAATAAATGCATGCATATCTATGGAGAGTCTACATTTGAGTCTACATAGGTTTGTTGCTTGCCCTCTAGCATAAATGTATTCCGGGAATGTTTATGGTAAATGTGTTAACTAGCAGTGAGTGAAATCTGCACCTCCTGATGCGCTAATGAATGCAGTGGTTTGACAAGCTTCAACCTCTGCTAATGTATGCATGTCTACCTGTACGTGACAGGTGAGCAAGTATAGGTAAACAACACATTAAGTCATTAAATAAGCATCTGCAGAAATGTACAATCAACACGTTCTTCTCGTTAAAATAAAAAAAATTTCGGCCTTTTCAAATAGCAATAAAGATTCAAGATTGAATAGGTTCCTCAGACAGGTTATATCACAACTTTATAAAATGTTTAAATAAATAAATAAATAAATATTTAGGTCATGACAGAACTACTATTAAATTTACATAATTTGAAACTATGCACTATTAAACATAGTAGTATAGTATAGTATAGTATAGTATAATATAGTATAGTATACAGTAATATAGTACAGTACAACACAGTATAGTATAGCATAGGATAGCATAGTATAGTATAGTATAGTATAGTATAACATAGTATAGTATAGTGTAATGTAGTGAATTAAACAAATTTTGTTTCATTATTGTTTAAAAGATATATTCACTTCTAAACGGCCTGTTATAAGTTTACCAGTTATCATATTTACATCTGTGTACATCTGTTTGATTTTGATAGAGGAAAAAAGGGTTATTTGTCTCACCTATCTCTGCTCCGTCGGGAGGGGAACGCAGCGTTGCATCCAGCCACAGTACACACATGCATCTCTTTTAGGTGCACATTCTTGTAGTGCAGTTTGACACTGTATGAACTTTTAAAGCTCTTTTTGCAGACGTAGCAAATCTTGGGATCAGGACTAGAACAGAGATCACCGTCAGGGGACTGAGAAGAGAATTTTGGTGGGCTTGATCCATAGCTCATAGAGGAGATGAAACTTTCATGTAAGGCAGCCATACTGGCAGCAGCGGCAGCGGCAGCTGCCATACCCCCATTGTAAAGGCTATATTGACCCATGCAGAACATGTCATATGTAGGATCATTGATCTCCTCTTTGATTTTGATAACAGGCTGGTGTTGGGAGGGTGGGGAATGGCTTTGTTCCTCCAAATCTTTCCGTAGGTGTCCCTCATCTTCTGCCCACTGATGTTCCTTGCCCAGGTTTCTGTCTAGGGCAGGCTGATGTACGTCAGTGTCCATCAGCTCATCACGGTAGAGCATCTTGGATTCAGATGTCTCTGACTCATTTTCAAAATCACGCTCATGATCTTGGTCCTCAGAGGTAAAGCTGTCAATACAGCGCAGGTCACCATGGCCTCTACTGCCATGACTCCCACTGCACTCTTCTTGGTCAGGATGGAGCATGCCTCTAAGGGCTAGACTGGGACTCATTTCATCGTGTGATGGAGACAGATGTCCACTACCCCCACAGTGATGACTGCTGCTGCTGCTGTTATTGTTGTTGTTGCAGTTGCCATTGACATTGTTATGGATGTTGTATGGCTGATGGTGGTGATGATGACAACTATCTTCATCATCGTCATCATCTTTGTCATCATAATCATCTGCCACATCTATTATTTCTTTCTCTATCTTTACTGGCATGCTAGATTTCCGAGGCTTCTTTTTAGGCATAGGGTCGACAGTTACAGAATCTTGGGTACTGGGAGTTGTGAGTAGGCGATGAGAAAACGTTGATGTTTCTGATACATGCATGTTGTGGGAGCTAGCAGTTAACATCTGTTGCTGGTCTGTCAGAGATGTGCAGTTGGTTGTGGTAGGCAAAATTGGACTGGTGGGCAAAGAGACTGGGGGACTAACTAGGTCAGTGGGAGAGAGCAGTGTGCGATAAAAAGGTGGCACAGGTTGCACTGGCTGCACAGACTTCAGGGAAGGGAAAACAAGAGGGCTCTGCAGGGGTGTCTGTATCATGGGGTCAAGAGGAGGGGTGGCAAAGCTTAGTGGTGGTCGCCCAGGGCTAGTTAGATTGAAGCCACTTTTGGCACTTGATATGACAGGTGTTGCTGTCCCAGAACTGGAGCGAATGAGGTCCTTGTCCCGGTTGTTCCTTAGCATGGGCATATGTAGACGAGGATTGGGATTAGCGCTATGCCGGTTACGACTTCTCAATGAACTAAAGACCATATTGCAGCCTTCGATAGTACATCGGTGCTTAATCTTCAGATGCACAGCATTGTAGTGGATCTTTAGAGTACCCTTATCATAGAAAGTCTTGCCACAGGAGTTACAGCAGACACGACCCTTACGTGAGGTTGCACCCATACGACGCATGCGATGCATTTTGGAAGAGAAAGAAGAGTGTGTAATGGTTTTCGATTGTTCATTCTTTTCAAAGTGGTGATGGATCTGGTGGTTGTTCAGAGTGCTTGATTGCTGTTGTTGCTGCCCCTGTGGTTGCTGTGTTGGTGTTTGTGGTTGCTGGGACTGGTGTGAAGATAGTGTTGGAGAGATGGGTGAAGCTCTGTTGGGTTCTATCTTAGGTTCAATGGCGTTAGGTAATGTCCCCATTGTTCCTCGACTGGGGCTCTGACCATTACGAAATGGTGAGAGGGACACTTCAGATTCACTGGTCTCCACTGGCTCGCTCTGATTGGGCAGATTTGGCTCTCGCATTCTGAGACCTGATTGCTCAATGGTCAGTCCATTTGGTGGCAGCCCTAACACGGGGGCTGACACTGGGTTGATGTACTGGAAGGGCAGCAAGAAGGCCAGACTGTTTGGGATGTTCTCAAAATGGTGAATGCTAGAGGGGCTGTTGCTCTCTAGGTGCGACAGAAGGCCAGGACTACGTGTGCGATTGTTGCTTTCAATGAAAGTTCTGATTCCAGAGTCAGTCTTTGATGAGGGCACTGTGACGGCCTGACCCTCCTTTTCCTGGATGGCCATCAGTTCCACAATAGACTTGGTTTCACCAAAGCGCAGAAACTGTTGAAGAGTGATGATCTCCTCTTCCCGGGACATTATAGTCCATCTGTCCAGAACTTTGCCTGCAGCATCCTAGAGGCCATATCAAAGAAAAGATAAAAACAAAAGAATAAATACTTATTTTTTTTCTGCATAGTGTCTGAGAAGATATAAGTGGTGGGTAGAATAAGATTAAGGGAATATCATCAACAAGAGCACACGTGAAACAATATATATAAAGACTGATAATAGCGTTTTCAACTGACAATATCTAGGCTTCCTCCACCTTGTCTTTTAGCCAACTATTAGAAGCTACCAGTGTTCATTTATTAGCCAGCCCGACCCAGCTAACTGCCCGTTTGGTACAGTTCTGGAGTTCCTGCAGGCCTGTTTATCCGCAGGGTTGACCCACTCCACCCTAGAGGTCTTCGTGGCGGCCATTGCGGCCTACCACGCCCCTCTCGGTGGCCATTCAGTGGGAAGACACCCTCTTCTTACACGTTTCCTCCGCGGTGCGCTGAGGCCGAGGCCTCCGGCCAGAGAAGCTTATGCTAAGTGGTGGATCAGGATGCTATTCCATAGCCTCGAGTCCTCTGATCTCCCCTCTCCTTTGGGGGTCAAGGCTCACTCCTCCAGAAGTTGGCCTTCGGGACAGCGGGCCCCGCCTACTTTAGCCACTCCTGGCTCCCCTTTCTCTCGCCTTAGTTGTGCTCTTCCACACTAGGCAGGGATTTGCAAGTCTGGCGGCGTGGGCATTCACGTTCCCGAAGGGTTTTCCGACACAGCTCGAGTTCCTGAAGAGGAACGTCTCAGGTTACGTATTTAACCATGGTTCCTCGAGGGAACGAGACGCTGCATCTCGGTGCCATACTTCCGCCATCCCTGCCGGCACTTGCTTCATTCCTGAAGCTGACGCCGGCTCCGCCGCACGTGCTTTTATAGCTTCCTGGCCATGACATCACCCGCCCATGACGTCTCGCCCAGCTATTGGACTGATTTCACATGTGATTCAGAGCGTGGTCACAGAAGGCGTTCCCAAAGCGTTTTCCGACGCAGCGTCTCGTTCCCTCGAGGAACCATGGTTACATACGTAACCTGAGACGTTTTCGTTTGTAATTTCTAGTAAAGTGGAATAAATGCATGCATATCTATGGAGAGTCTACATTTGAGTCTACATAGGTTTGTTGCTTGCCCTCTAGCATAAATGTATTCCGGGAATGTTTATGGTAAATGTGTTAACTAGCAGTGAGTGAAATCTGCACCTCCTGATGCGCTAATGAATGCAGTGGTTTTACAAGCTTCAACCTCTGCTAATGTATGCATGTCTACCTGTACGTGACAGGTGAGCAAGTATAGGTAAACAACACATTAAGTCATTAAATAAGCATCTGCAGAAATGTACAATCAACACGTTCTTCTCGTTAAAATAAAAAAAATTTCGGCCTTTTCAAATAGCAATAAAGATTCAAGATTGAATAGGTTCCTCAGACAGGTTATATCACAACTTTATAAAATGTTTAAATAAATAAATAAATAAATATTTAGGTCATGACAGAACTACTATTAAATTTACATAATTTGAAACTATGCACTATTAAACATAGTAGTATAGTATAGTATAGTATAGTATAATATAGTATAGTATACAGTAATATAGTACAGTACAACACAGTATAGTATAGCATAGGATAGCATAGTATAGTATAGTATAGTATAGTATAACATAGTATAGTATAGTGTAATGTAGTGAATTAAACAAATTTTGTTTCATTATTGTTTAAAAGATATATTCACTTCTAAACGGCCTGTTATAAGTTTACCAGTTATCATATTTACATCTGTGTACATCTGTTTGATTTTGATAGAGGAAAAAAGGGTTATTTGTCTCACCTATCTCTGCTCCGTCGGGAGGGGAACGCAGCGTTGCATCCAGCCACAGTACACACATGCATCTCTTTTAGGTGCACATTCTTGTAGTGCAGTTTGACACTGTATGAACTTTTAAAGCTCTTTTTGCAGACGTAGCAAATCTTGGGATCAGGACTAGAACAGAGATCACCGTCAGGGGACTGAGAAGAGAATTTTGGTGGGCTTGATCCATAGCTCATAGAGGAGATGAAACTTTCATGTAAGGCAGCCATACTGGCAGCAGCGGCAGCGGCAGCTGCCATACCCCCATTGTAAAGGCTATATTGACCCATGCAGAACATGTCATACGTAGGATCATTGATCTCCTCTTTGATTTTGATAACAGGCTGGTGTTGGGAGGGTGGGGAATGGCTTTGTTCCTCCAAATCTTTCCGTAGGTGTCCCTCATCTTCTGCCCACTGATGTTCCTTGCCCAGGTTTCTGTCTAGGGCAGGCTGATGTATGTCCGGGTCCATCAGCTCATCGCGGTAGAGCATCTTGGATTCAGATGTCTCTGACTCATTTTCAAAATCACGCTCATGATCTTGGTCCTCAGAGGTAAAGCTGTCAATACAGCGCAGGTCACCATGGCCTCTACTGCCATGACTCCCACTGCACTCTTCTTGGTCAGGATGGAGCATGCCTCTAAGGGCTAGACTGGGACTCATTTCATCGTGTGATGGAGACAGATGTCCACTACCCCCACAGTGATGACTGCTGCTGCTGCTGTTATTGTTGTTGTTGCAGTTGCCATTGACATTGTTATGGATGTTGTATGGCTGATGGTGGTGATGATGACAACTATCTTCATCATCGTCATCATCTTTGTCATCATAATCATCTGCCACATCTATTATTTCTTTCTCTATCTTTACTGGCATGCTAGATTTCCGAGGCTTCTTTTTAGGCATAGGGTCGACAGTTACAGAATCTTGGGTACTGGGAGTTGTGAGTAGGCGATGAGAAAACGTTGATGTTTCTGATACATGCATGTTGTGGGAGCTAGCAGTTAACATCTGTTGCTGGTCTGTCAGAGATGTGCAGTTGGTTGTGGTAGGCAAAATTGGACTGGTGGGCAAAGAGACTGGGGGACTAACTAGGTCAGTGGGAGAGAGCAGTGTGCGATAAAAAGGTGGCACAGGTTGCACTGGCTGCACAGACTTCAGGGAAGGGAAAACAAGAGGGCTCTGCAGGGGTGTCTGTATCATGGGGTCAAGAGGAGGGGTGGCAAAGCTTAGTGGTGGTCGCCCAGGGCTAGTTAGATTGAAGCCACTTTTGGCACTTGATATGACAGGTGTTGCTGTCCCAGAACTGGAGCGAATGAGGTCCTTGTCCCGGTTGTTCCTTAGCATGGGCATATGTAGACGAGGATTGGGATTAGCGCTATGCCGGTTACGACTTCTCAATGAACTAAAGACCATATTGCAGCCTTCGATAGTACATCGGTGCTTAATCTTCAGATGCACAGCATTGTAGTGGATCTTTAGAGTACCCTTATCATAGAAAGTCTTGCCACAGGAGTTACAGCAGACACGACCCTTACGTGAGGTTGCACCCATACGACGCATGCGATGCATTTTGGAAGAGAAAGAAGAGTGTGTAATGGTTTTCGATTGTTCATTCTTTTCAAAGTGGTGATGGATCTGGTGGTTGTTCAGAGTGCTTGATTGCTGTTGTTGCTGCCCCTGTGGTTGCTGTGTTGGTGTTTGTGGTTGCTGGGACTGGTGTGAAGATGGTGTTGGAGAGATGGGTGAAGCTCTGTTGGGTTCTATCTTAGGTTCAATGGCGTTAGGTAATGTCCCCATTGTTCCTCGACTGGGGCTCTGACCATTACGAAATGGTGAGAGGGACACTTCAGATTCACTGGTCTCCACTGGCTCGCTCTGATTGGGCAGATTTGGCTCTCGCATTCTGAGACCTGATTGCTCAATGGTCAGTCCATTTGGTGGCAGCCCTAACACGGGGGCTGACACTGGGTTGATGTACTGGAAGGGCAGCAAGAAGGCCAGACTGTTTGGGATGTTCTCAAAATGGTGAATGCTAGAGGGGCTGTTGTTTTCTAGGTGCGACAGAAGGCCAGGACTGCGTGTGCGATTGTTGCTTTCAATAAAAGTTCTGATTCCAGAGTCAGTCTTTGACGAGGGCACTGTGACTGCCTGACCCTCCTTTTCCTGGATGGCCATCAATTCCACAATAGACTTGGTTTCACCAAAGCGCAGAAACTGTTGAAGAGTGATGATCTCCTCTTCCCGAGACATTATAGTCCATCTGTCCAGAACCTTGCCTGCAGCATCCTAGAGGTCATATCAGAGAAAAGATAAATAAATATAAATAAATAAATAAATATATATATATAATATCAGCATAGTATCTAGGAATATACAGGTGATGGGTAGAGTAAGGATAAGGGAATATCACCAAATTTATTAGGCACGATGCAGATCAGTATTGCCTGAGCTTTATGTTAATTGGAGTTTAGAGGACGCTTGTCTCAAACTAGATTAAATATTAATGAAGGCATACTTTATCAAGAAGATGGTGTCAACTAAAATGTGTTTGTTAACTTATATTTGCCTTCAGGCACACAAGTATGGAATTATGTAAATCTCAACATATCATAACTGGCCTGGCTTGTTTATTTGTTTAAAATTATTATTTTCATTCATTCATTCATTCATTCATTTTGCAAAGCCGAAACCATGGGATGTGGGAAGTTTCCATCTTGAGAGAGCGGTATTGCTCCAGGAGCAAAAATAAGCACCACTTCCAAGGAGCTTGTAATCGGCCAGCATTCTAAGTAATGGTATTATTAACCATTGAAAAAATAAAACAGTTTGAGCTTTACACACTTGCCCACTGCCATATGTTGAGATATGGCAAGAGATTCTGGGAATGGAATCATGGCAGTATCTTTTAGTGTTGTGGTCAGGCTTATAACTTTGATACATAACATTTGTGACTTAAGTGTTCCTCTCTCTGGTACCTGCATTTTTTTAAGTATGTTTCCTGACATAACTGTGCTGCTTATAGACCCTATTGATACGCGAAAATGTGAATGATGAGTTTGAAAATGAATATATTATATATTGTCTTACCACTGGAATTTTCTTCATGTGACTAAATAGGCTTTTAAAGTCATGTAAAGTAACAGGCATAACCTTTCTTATACTATTTATAAACTGTATATAAATGTTCATTGGCATTTGCCACAGGATTTGATGCCAAAAGTGTGGCACTGCTATTGCTACCATGAGAGTTTATGAATGGCACTTCCAGTTTAAGGGGATAGAAGATTATTTTGCTCTTCTCATATATGATCTAGTTTACCCTTGACACAGAACAAGGCAACATCAAGGGAGCAATAGTTGTTCTGATGACAATTTGAGATTACTCAAGGCAAGGCTTTGTCTGCCCTAGCCTGCTAGGTTCTATGAATGATAAATGGTTACTCTGGATTTTAAAAGCTGTAAGAATCAACAGCACAAAGCACAAAGGGCTTTTAAGGCACAGACAGTGAATAAATGTTTAAAGAGAGTGGGAGAGTTAGAGAATGAGAGAAAGTGAAGAAAAGAGAAGATAGTAAGAGAGAACGAGAGGTGGGAATACAGAATGGTTTCACAACAGCATGGCCTCAGAAATTTAAGCAAGATAAATTCTTTAGAGACAGCACATCAATAGTCACTGGGGTATTTGTTGTTAAAAATACATTAAAAACATTTTACACTTTCATTCGGTGTTTGAGAATGAGTTTAGCCTGGAGGTAAGACTTTAAATTTCAGCCTCAACAATATTATTTTATATGGCACAGTGGTTTGAACTTCTGTATTTCAATTTGATGTAAGTAAAAGAGAAAAAAGCAAATTACAAAGTGAATTTTTAAAGGGGTCATATGATGCGATTTAAATTTTCCTTTTTCTTTGGAGTGTTACAAGCTCTTGGTGGCTCACTCTAGGCCGCCGTGTGTGACGCTGTGTTTCGTTGTTAAAGCGAAACTACTTTGTTTGGCCTTCCAAAAGAGGACGATATCTGCTTCGTCATGCCTGGAGCTGATCCGTGCTGGTCGCTGAGGAAATACATCAACTTCGCGCTGTGGATCGCCGGATCGGCTTTCACCGTGCGTCAAGCGGAGTCCAGCCCGGGGTCGTCACATGTGGTTGCCGCAAGCCCGCCGGATGCTCCTTCGTTGAATCCGCCAGCCGCGCCGTTCTCAAGCCCGCCTGCCTCTGCTCACTCATGCCGGCCTCCGCTCACAGCCGCGGTGTGTGACGCTGTTTCGTTGTGAAAGCGAAACTACTTTGTTTGGCCTTCCAAAAGAGGACACGACTAGAAATCAGTGGTTAAGTTGTATTTACAACACTGTTCCAGAACAGTTTCAGACCAATGAGGTTTGTAAAAATCGACGCGTTTCAGAAAGGCGGGGCATAGAGGAGAAATAATAATGTACAGTATGTGGAAAAGAATGTGTTTTTTAACCTTAAACCACATAAATACATTTCATTACACCAAATACACAAAATAATGTTCTTTTTAGCAGCATCATATGACCCCTTTAAATAGTACTAAAAATGCTATTAAAAAATAAATACTGTGGAATGTTAAAGCAATTCTCTCCTTCTGTTTTTTTCTGTCTATTTTCTTACTTCAAGATGTTCATTACCTTCCTTCAGTTATATTTCTATAATACATGTCAAGTCTGCTAAAGAACATTTCATCAGGAAAGCATCTATTTGTGTACATCTAATAAACATGTTTAACCTCCTGAGACCCTGTGACCTCATATGAGGACATTATATTTTGGTGAATTTCTCTGAGACTATACATGCCACAGTTTTAAGTCTGGATGTCCTGTACAG